GGCTAAGATTTCTACATACTTATTTCTACATGGAAACTTCCCTATGTTTGAAAGGAATACTCCCTCCCTGGAAGGTTGCACCCTGCTTACCTAATGATAGAGAATATTACTATATGTTTCTGAGAGCCAAGGCTTGGGGACTCTGGAGTGCGCATTGGGTTACTGCTGGAGTTAACTAGCACAGCTTGCCATTGAGAACCCTATGTGGCAAACCCTCCCAAGAAGGATAGATAATAGGTGAAGAGGGAATTGAGAATGGAACCATTTAAAATAAGAGTTAGAATCTCTTTGTTAGAATTGCAACAGGCAGAAGACAGAAGACAGAATATTAAAGGATCATTATTAGAGGAATAAAGAGCACCATGGAAATAAATGAAGTGTGAGAAAGGTGTTCGGTCAGAGAAGTGAGTGAAAGGGAAACAAAGAAAGCAAGGCAAAGGGAAATGGAGAAATAAAAAATTAAAAGGCAAACAAAGCAAGTATTTCAACAGTTGACAGACAACACCCACTGTGACGTTCTGCTTAAACCCTCAAGACATCCATGCACAAGGTTAGCTGGATTATAAATATCGGATATTGGCAACAATTTACTCACTGCAGAGTGTCGCAGTTAAGTAGAACTTACTGCATAATATAAAGGGAACCACTTTCCGAATGACTCCAACTTCATTGGCTTTTAACAAGTCAGAATCTTTGGAGAAAGATCTTAATTCTATGAGGACAATGGTCTCAATTGTAAGGAAAGAACTGAAGTTTTACTGATGTGTGATCAAGCTCGATAACTCTGAATAAGATGGTCTTTGTCAAAAATGTAAAATAAAAATCCTGTAAACTACATTTTGAGACAATAAACCTTTGAGACAAACATTCATATAACAAGGAACACTTTCTATATAATAGTTCAATCTATATCAAATTGAAGTCAGGCAAAACAGTGGAATATTTCTGGAACAACTCTTCCCTTTCACGTGCGATTTGGAAAGGAGACAAACTGATGTCTGACGTTCGGACACAGAGGGTCATTCAAAATAGTCATTAGTCAAACTGGGGTTAAATTCACAAAATTTCCTAGGGGTCAATCTGTTGTTCTCAAAATCTCCATACATTCTGATTAAAATCTGAAGTTAACTAATATTACAGCATTGTGTGGGATTGTGAACTGTGTCTAAGATTCCATGTGAGAAGCACAATGGTTGTGACTAGTGACCGGTGGTGGATGAATGAAGTATAATGTATGTTCATGCTAATTATCATACTTTTGTTAAAAAGCTGCACTGGTGAGCTCATTACCCACTTTGGCTTTGAATGCATCATCATTTCAAAACATCCAGATGATCACATCATCCGCCCCATCTCCTATTGATTTTATATGCACTTAGTGACGTAAATTCATTTTGGATGATTGTGATAATGGATCATTTCTCAAATTTTTTGGATTGATTCCATGTATGATTTTTTCTAATTAAACCTGATTTTCTTGTCAAGAAATAATGTTGTTACAAAGGGTGGGGTAAAATTTACTGTATTGCATAACACGTTCCTTGTCCATTCAGTGTATAACTTGCATGAACTGTGTATAAATTAACACAAGGAAGGTATTATGAAACATTGCAAACATTTGCCTACAAAACTCAGTCACTACACATTGCATTACATCTTCTGAAGGACTTTGAGATGTCCTCCCAACATAAAAGGCATTATATCAAATGTAAAGGTATTATTATTATTATAAAGTTTACCCAATTCATGATATTTGTGACTTAATCACATCTTCGGATAAATTAGTGGCAAATAGTTCATAGATAGAGGTCGTGAAAAATGTTCCTAGAGCGTGAGATGTCAATTAGGTAATCTCTAATAAATTGGCTCTCACAGACGCTTCTGATGTAGATCTGGAGGTTAACACATTGCACATAGCTCAGTGCAGAGGTTAACCAGCTCCATCTTGTGAAACCAAAAGTGGAAGATTCTACAGCACAGCAACATTGTGCGATATTTCAAATTCAGTTACAAGCTTTTTTTAAAATCTTATTTGCTACGTGAATACTCTCAGCAATCCGTCAAAGTCTGTCGCTGGAATAGTGGTCAACAAAGAAATTGTTATTAAATTGAGTCTATTTAGGAAAGCGCAGGAGGGAAATGATTGGACTTCCCTTCGCCTGAAGTATATGGTAATGCAATAGGAACAACAGTGTTGAAAGGACTGGAAAGTTGCACAAGCAATCTGCAGCTTTGGTCGATATGATTATGATGAGTGTTAGTGTTTCTACTCTGTGTTGATGGAGACATATCTTTCGATCCTATCAATAGGAAACCAAGATTCTATCTCACAAATGTAATCACATTTTTTTAGGATGCTAATGAGTGTAGTTATTATGCATCTTTCAAATAGTTAAGTGTTTGAAAGGAGCCTTCACTAAAATATTGGCAGGAATAAAGACCTGCCATTTTGAAAGAGAATTATTGAATTGGATTTAAAACTGGTTTCTCAGCCTGACTCAATTAATAGCATTCTCTCTTCTGAGTTAGAGAATTGTGGCTCCACATCAGGACTTTGAACTGTAGTCTAGGTTGACTATGAATACTGGGGGAATGTTGCATTGTCATAGGACCAGGAAGTAGATATGGACATGGAAACTGACCAAATTATTGCATAAAGTTATTGAAAATGAATGTACATAGGCACAATGAAGCATTGTATTGATTCATACAAAATAGTGCAGTGTTGCAATGGGACAAGGACACAGATGTTTCCAGTAAGTAATGGAAACATGAAAGAAAATAATCAGAGACGAATGCATCGCGGTTTGAAAACTGCACTGTTCATTTCTCAAGTACTCGTTCTAGTCATTCTCAGTGTTCTTAATCATTGTTCATTCCTTATAGTTATTGCAGAAAGGAAACATTTAGATAAAAGATTGGTAGGTGGATTATGTAGAGTTCTGATGACTCAGTGTTTGATGTGATCCGTGACCCAAATACAATTCGCATTTGTACTATAACTGGACTGAATGGAATGATTATATTCCATTCCAATATGTTATATTTGTCATAAAACATTTGAAAACTAAAAGAAATCACCTTCTAATACTGATTTTAAAAAGTAGATTTTACTTTTAGCTTCTAGAATGATGGGTTGATTAGATGCCCCCCACCCAAAAATGATTTTTTTGTCCTTTATTGCTGGATAGCACGTAGCTTTGTGACCTAAAATGAAACACTAGGACGCAAAGAAGAAAACTAAAACAGGAAGTTAGTTGTATCTTGGTATTAATGAATGACATTTGGTCACAAATATAGTTATTTTAGGTGTTGTGGTAAAATCTCTTATCAGCAAAAGTGTAATAGCACCAATAGAAAAATATAATAAGAGAAATGAATAGATAGCTTTATGTCTATGTCCTCCAGCTGGACAACCATGAAACAATCAGGAGCATAATGCTCACTCACAAGAAACCAGTTTTGAGTGCTTTGGTATCAGTGGGGATTGTGAACCTGAATTGTATGCAAGTTAGTTTTACAAATGTCTATTTCTGTACAATTGTCTCTTTATTCCACAAAGTGAATCTGCTAACATAATAATAATAATCCTTGCATTTGATATAGCGTGTTTCACGTCAGGAGGACGTCCCAAAGCGCTTCACAGAACACACTGTAAAGTGAATTGACTGTATATTTGTGGGCGAACGCGGCAGCCAATTACGCACAGCAATGTCCCACAAACAGTCGTAGATTGAAAATGACGAATTTATTATTGTTTTTGGTTTTGGAGGGATTATTATTAGGCTCTGTGTGGAGTAAGGAAACTTGCCCAAGGTTTCGCCTTCTGCCTGGAATTGAACTTAGGTCTCTCACTTGCAAAGCGAGTGCTCTAACCACTGAGCTACAGGACTCCAACATGATGATTGGTTCTTACAAGATTGGAAATGATCATTTTCTGCAGTAAATTATTATTAATTAATAGCTAGCTTCCACAACATATTTCATTTTGAATACACATTGATCCAAAGAGCATCCATATTTCTGCCCTGCGAAGTTCTCCTTTATTTCCTTTCCTATCCTGAAGGAGATGACTTTAAGGAATTGTTCTGTGGGTAGCAGTAGTTCAGCTAAATGATCATTCTGTGACAGCTTAGCTGAATTGGTATCACTCTGACCTCTGTGATCATGCAATAGCTTTTAGTCTGGCCCTTGCCATCTTGTGCAGAAGTCGTCATTCAAAATGGCAATGACATAGTACCTTATAGTACAGTTCATTCAAAGGAGTAAAAATGACAGAGAAATGCGAGCAATATTTAGACAATCATTTACTTGTTATCATTCTATTTGCAGCATGAAGTTGGTGAAAATGTCTGAGTAAAACAGAGCCCTTCTCCCTCTCCAACAAATACAAACAGATATGTTCACCAGTCTTAACGTCAGATTATTTCTTAGTGATGACCAGAATCACTGTTCAATATAAAATCTACAAAATATTTCTGCATTAAGTGATCAGCATGGAGAATTGTTAGTGTGTTGGACATTTGGTGAGCTTCATCTTCAGCCATGTTCTGCACTGACTGTGACATTTCATCCTTAATTCACGGAACAAGTTTCAAATCTTTCCCTAAAGGTTAAGCTTAAGTTCTTTAGGCAGGAACTTTGTAACGCCACACTCATACAATTTAAGTCCTATTTCCATCCTACCTATGCAGCTTAACCATTGACTAAGGGCTGAATCCATCAATAACTAATAACACTCAAGTAAGCTGATCTATCTGAGATCCTACATGTAATAGTAAGTAACGTGTACATTGAATTAAATCTGGTTATCGATGAAAAGTCATAAAATACCAGTAATAATCAACTTGTTACTTTCAACTTTCTACTTGTTTTCTACCAAAGCAACTTGCAATAAACCACTGTGACGAAAGATAAATTGGAGAGCAAATTATAAGCAATGCATTTTTTTAAAAAATCTCCATGCGGATAAATAAATGTATAAGTTAAAAGAAAATATTGGTTTCACACACATTTTTATTTATCTGTACAGAACATTTGGCTTAATTTCTTCAAATATTTAAAATACAAAATTCAATACACAACATATTACATGCTACCAATCAATTCAAAACTATACTATTGCTTTATTTACCTGTTGGTTGTGAATGATTTTAATCTGAATGCGTTTACAGCTTCTTGATAAAGATGCAAGTCAATTATAAAATGCAAGAGAATAACAAAATGTGAAAACAATTCAACGGATGATCATTTTAAAGGTGCTGTTTATTCAGTTTCAGTTCTTTCCTAAAAGAGAAAATTAAAAAGGAATAACTTTCGATTTCTTTCAAGAGCATGGTCAGATGTATAAATCGCAAGCTTAGCTTAGCCGCTTCATAAATGAATTTAATTACATTTAATGTTTTTAATTTTTCACCTCCCAAAAATTCCTACTTGTTCTTGATAAGCACCGCTGAAAACTGTGAGGCCCACAGAGTGTTGTGGATTGTTGTGCCACTATGCTGTGCCTTTTGCAGAGCTGGTGAGTGTGAATATAAGTGTGTGTCCACCATTTCTCAGCATGGAGAATTCTTGCTCTCTCTCTCTCTCTCTCTCCATCCATCTCTCTCTCCCCCTATCTCTTTGAGAAGGTGCATAGAAGGAGATATCAGGCTACTGTCCCTCCTGTGAATGCTGCCGCACAAGTATGTGTTATCAAAGTTTTCATTTGTGTCTTGATTTGCAAACCGAAACATAACCAAACTTTTAAGAATTTATCTTGTGAATTTACAAACCACAGGAAATTTACAAACATAACAGAAACATACATCCTACAGTTTGACTTTGACGAAAGATATTTCTTATATAGACATGTATGATAATTAATAATTCTTAGCTAAGTTATATATATAATATATTTGCTTACCTGAGAAAAGTATTAATATGCTTTTGCACCCACCCCTGCTTTGGATCTGCACATAAACTTCGTCCCTTTTTGGTATGAAATCTGCAAAGAAATATTTTGGAATGATGTTTAATTAAATTGGATTATTTGTATACTTTAAATGTAGTTTAGAGAATTATAGTATAATAATAAAAATCCTTCATTCGGTATAGTGACAATATCATAGTGTCTTGTTGCTTCTTCTCAAAGTGCTTCACGGGATTTTACTTTGTGAAGTGTAGTGAGTGTGCGTTTGCTTTCCTTCTATGAACCCCAGCCCATTTGTACTCACATGATTGCGTCAATCCTGCAGAGTTCATTTGAGTGTTGTCTGATGTAGCCTATAATTGATTTTACAGGTATCATGATCCTTGCATAAGAAAGACAACAGTCGACTGGAATCTGAGCATCTGCGAAGAAGAAAAAGCGGTTATTAACCCAAGAGGACAAGATTTGCTCAAACATTTGCTAAAAAACAGCCCTGGGTTCAGCAAACGAAACGTAAGCTAAAAGTAGAACGTTTGCTCATTTCACCTGCAAATGGGGATTTTTCAATCACGGTGAGCACTGCCAGTCCCAGCAGCACAGCCACAGTCAGCTTCTCACAGCCAAAGACGGTCTTGTTCATCTTGCTGACCAGTGTTGAAAGCATTACTTGTTAGGAGATTATCAGACTGAGCATCAAACTAATTTCACTGCTGTTTGAGATCGTCTTTTATACATTTTGTTACTTCTTAGTGGGCTGTACCAATTGACCACAAAAAGGAATTCTCTGAAAGATAACCAGAAGTAAGAAAAGTTCCAACCAGAAAGCATTTCCTGTTTTGTTTTCCATCTTCCCTCAACACTGTTGATATTACATTGATTTACAAATGTGATTTTTAATTGTTTGTGCTAATTAGGTCACAAAGAGAAAAGCAGACCCTGCCTTCTATATAGTGTCAAGAAAGCATAAACCACAGACTGATATTATGTAAAGTACTACATCCAAATTCACTGATTAAAACATTCCATGTTATTAGGGTAATATTTACCAACTATTATCCCCTGAGGATATGCTACGAATAATCGCTGTTACCTATCCGTAGCAAAACAAGTATTTGTAGAAGGTATAAATAGAAAAAAGAGCATTCATTTAGGTGCAATGTCGCCAACAAGTTTCTTATTGTTCATGATGTATAAATAACCACAGATGCAGATCACAATGTACAGGAAATGCATTTAGACCTTATTTGGTTGAAAGCATGTTCCACCAATCTCTTTCCACAATGCATAGAGAGATATAGTAGAGGAGGTTTGCATTAAATAACGACACAACCATGGACTAGTTGGGCCAAATGACTTGATTCTGTGCAGTAACATTTTATGTAATTCTAAGTAATATTTTTTGAAGTGCAGAGGAATTATCACAAAACTGTCTTACCAATGGATTGAATTCCATTGAATTTTCTAATTGAGAAATTCCCTCATTACTGGATCTTTAATTCAGTAGCCTTGTGCTTCATATAACTGCGTTGGATAATATTATAGGTTGCTTAGAATTTTATATGCATATACATTTATGGATTCTATTAAATGTTAATATTCCTGTCTTATTCATATTTATGAACTGCAGGATGTTATTTATGTACGATATATAAATAAGATTGGAAACACTGGTCTATCATGAATGCTGAGAACATTTATTATAAATCAATTTTAAATTTGTGTCAATGTTTTATGAAGGAGAACAATGACTATCCACTATTTTTATTTCAATCTTTTTATGAATGTCAAGAATTAAGTTAACCCTTACAGTGATTCTAATAATATATTTCATTACATGTTAAGGTTAAGCGTGGAGGCAGTGGGGTAGGGGATTAGCCACCTGCTGAGAATTAAATCTATAAATGAGGTGTGAAACCACATAACCACTTGAAATTGCAGTTTAGACAAATTGGAGTATCTTGGATCTAGACATTTGTTTAGATACTGTATTAACACCATCCTGGGTGACATGTTTGCCTTCATTGTGAGTAATGAGAACAAACGAATATTAGGCTAAACTATGCGCAGGAAATGTAACAAAGATACAGCTTCCTTTCCTTTATTTGCAAATTAACCAGTTATACAATTGAACTGAAGTGAAAGCAGAAAACCCTGGAAATACAATACAAAATACAAAATTACATTTGTAAAGCACCTTTCACGTCGGGATGACGTCCCAAGGCACTGTGTCCCAAATCCACAGAAGGTTGATCAGCCCCTGATATATAGATTTGCATTTCACATCTAATAAAGGGCATGACTCAAACATTCATCTTATTTTCTTTTCCAGATCCATTCAATGAAATTAAATAATCTCCAAAGGATTGGTCTCACAGCACAATGGTTAATACAACTTTATACATGTGTGCTGGGTTCCATCCATGTGTGCTGGGTGGTTGATTTAGTGGTTGAAAGTACCTCCAGGACTTTATCTTAGCCACTGTTTTTTTTTGTGTGAGGCACTTGTGCCAGTCAGCAAGCAAGCTATTTGACCATGAAACCATCGTGTCAAATAGACCAAAGAGGCTTCTTTATTTCTACCTCCTTAGTGTGATTAACCATTAACAGCTTGAACAACTGTCTTCATCCAATATCTGCACACATCACATTCTCCAGGGTCCAAAGATCAATGGAACACAATCAGGAACGAGGGCTAACCAGCCTCCGGCCCACACACACAAGACACCACCAGCACCGTTCACTCAGGTATGTGTTCATTATGGAGAATATTGCACCAAGAGGCTGTTAATAATAATAATAATAATAATCCTTGCATTTGATATAGCGCTTTTCACGTCAGGAGGACGTCCCAAAGCGCTTCACAGAATATACTGTAAAGTGAATAGACTGTATATTTGTGGGCGAACGCGGCAGCCAATTGCGCACAGCAATGTCCCACAAACAGTCGTAGATTGAAAATGACCAATTTTTTTTAATTTATTTTTTTGGTTTTGGAGGGATTATTATTAGGCTCTGTGTGGAGTAAGGAAACTTGCCCAAGGTTTCGCCCTCTGCCTGGAATTGAACTCAGGTCTCTCGCTTGCAAAGCGAGTGCTCTAACCACTGAGCTACAGGACTCCACAAATGTTGTTCATTTGCTTAAGTTTGCATTTGATGCACAAGCCAATGATTGTGCTGCCAGTAACTTGAGGCATATCAGTTTTGCCTGGATGCAAGTCCTGTATCATGCATATTCCAGGCCCCATGTGTCTGCAAACACCAGGAGTACATTTAAGACAAACCAAGGATATTGCCCTTGGCTCAACACTGCTGGGGGGAGTAAAAAACAATCATGCTTATGTTTATAAAAAAGTTGTTTCTGAAAATGTCAAAAACAATTCAGAATTAAAACATCTGAGTGAACTTGAACTGTCAAACCCCAGCTTTAAAATGATTCAATGGGTCGTTCGTGAACAACAGGGTCATAGAGTTTCTTGCTTGGAAACCCCATAAAACATTTCGCCTCTCAATTGTTCTGTTAATTCTATACCAAGTGTATGCATGATGTTTCAAATGCAGGATGAATGCTGAATAAACAAAGCAAAGTTTTCAGCACAACAAACCTAAACATCCTGTGGGCAATAATATAGCAAGCAAACTTTGGTACTGTTCTCACTTGGTGCTCTCATTTTAATGACCATTAACTGAATGTCATGATTCAAACTCACCGATAAAGAACAAGCTCTCTGCCTCAAACTTCCTGTTTCCTCTTATCAAACACACGATAGCTGACCTCAATGTTCCGACAATTTTATCTAGACTTAACCTGTAAGACTATCTCTGTCTTAAAATGTTCTAAGTTATCTGGAAAATGCAGACTTAATTTGCAAGCTGACTTAAAAAAATAGCTGCCAACTTAAATCAATTCAAGGATTTTTCTAAACTGTGTAATGTTATATGCCAAGACGAAATTATCCCTGCAGACAAAAACATCTTAACAGCCACATATTTTGGAAAATTACTTCATTTCATACACAATTGTTTAATGACTGTTTTAATGTTTGTGATTGACGGAAGTGATCACAATTTAAAAAGCAGCAATTGTTTATTTAAGGACTGTGTTCACAATGAAGTAATTTTCTAGTTTGTCTACAAATACACAAACAGTACCCTTGACATCAATTACACTTTAAATCATTTTAACATAGGCTCTATACTGAGCACTGATGTCCCTAGTATTTGGTGCTTCACCACGTGCTACTGTTTGGTCATAAACCACTTATATTTTTGACTGTTAAAAATGATCGCATGATCTTATCCACCACATTGAATAATGCTCAATCAAATATTATCAATCAAAATGAGCTGCAGAAGCAACGACTGACTCTAAAATAGTCAACTTATTTCCTTTCATAGTTTTCACTGTAAACTATGAAGAAAGTTCGGAAACAAAGTTCACACAATGGTTAGTACCTGACCACTGGAGGATATGTGATATTCAGAGCTGTGTAAAACAATAAACTTACAGACATACATTGTGTAATAGATTTTAAACCTGAACACATGCAGCGTTCTGTGTAATAAAAAACAATGTTAGTTCATTAAAAAAATGTGAATGCAAGTAACACCTTCTTTTCTTGCTTGCTCACCCTGGTCAAACATTGGAGTAATGAAATGATACAGCAAAAGGAAGTGGGCATTTAGTGCACTGGCATTCACTCACTACTTTAATCCCTCTCAGTGTCAATTAATGCAACGCTGGAAGGCAAAACCTGGCAGTCATTATACGTATTAGTGTTGGTATTGGAAAGTAAAATCTCTAATAAGGGAAATAGCATGTACATGTCTCTAACGCAATTCTTGAGGTTTTGGATGTCTAAAATTATTGAGCTTCATTCTCAGTTTCCAGTGTCATGTCAACCCTCCAATCCATCATAACTGTGTACTGCATCCCTCGCCATGTTTATTCTCTGTCCAACACACTATTGACATTTGGTGACAAGAGCTCAAACTTCTGTCTTTGTGAAGGAGACTTGAGCACAGAATAGTTTGTAATGTATCAAGCACCATGAGCAACATTTCATGTTGAGTTTATAGTACTGGCAGCAAGGATGCTTTGTTTCCAGCAATTTAGCTGGAAACTAGCCCGTTCCCTTTGCTCTGCCAACCAAGGTCTTCTCCACGATTCCCCCACCTCCTCTGCCCAAACATTTGTAGGGGAGACTTTAGACGCTTTGCTCCTGCTCTCTGGAACTCTCACTATAAATACCTCCATTTTGAGCTCTGTTTTCAAAACCCTTATAAAACGGTACCTCTTTCACGGTACCTTCAATCATTTCCTTCCTACTCCACCATACGCTTTGAGATGTATTCCTATGTTTAAAAGAGCTATAGAAATATAAGTTGTTGATAGAAATGTGGAGAATGAAACCTGATTTAAATGTCCTGCTACGCTATGTACTGAATCCAAGTCATATAAAAGCAAACAACCTAGTGGGTTGTTTCTACACCCATATCTTTGCTGATGATGCAGAATGATAAGTTGAAGGTTCTTGCGCTAACTTAATGGGAGCTGGGAGCTCTTAATGACCTGCAGCGGAACAGACCCTGTGTTTTCACTGCTATACGTATATAAGGGTGATATCCCACTGGTTCAGAAAGCACTTCCCATCCTCCACTGTTATCATGCGCAGGTCGGCAGAGCAACTTGTGTGAAAAACA